TAGACACGGGGGTGGTCGTCGTTATCTACACGCAGCCATAAGGTGGACAGGTCCCTACCTTCAAGATTACTGAGGCGACGTGAGCTGATATCGTCCCTGATGTACACGCACACCCCGGCCCTAGGCAGGAAGGAATGTTCCAGTCCATACCCAGGGTAGGTGAGGTAGGATGTGTCCAACGGAGACGATATCTGCGTCTCAGTCAAAAAGAGCAAGGCCGGCTTTGCTGTCTCTAGGTGGTGATGGACAGCATTGAGGTTGGTGTGTAATCCCCTTATGTTGCAGAAGTCCACATTCAGCGTGGCAAGGGGTGCCATGGTTATTCTGCTCTTGCCTCCAGCTTTATGATGCGCAGTTTTGCCCCCCCCAGAGTACGATGTGGGGCGGCCTGGACGTCCACGCTCAGGGTAGTTGAGTTCTGAAAATGGACGTCCAGAGAGGGATTCTCCAACGCAGTTGGTACCCTCCTGGGGTAGAAACTCTTGAATCAACTGCGACATTATGAGGGGGGGGGGGTTGGGCCTCCGGTACCCTCACTCACTCGGTGAAACACAGCGCAAGCGCTGTTTCACACCGGTTTTCTGTGAGGCCGTGGTATTACTCCGGTCGAGCCGGCCCATTCGTGCCGAAGCATGGCTCTCCCACGGTAAAAACTATTTTGATAGAATTTTTATCAATCAATCACACAATCTCTCGGATCTCTCCTGATAGAATGTGATGATGCAGCTATCGATGGGTTACTCGTAACATATACGTACAATATTGGAATATGTATCAGAGACATTGTAGAACACACTTTTTTAAAAAGAGTAACGATTGGAGTATATTGCTCGTTCTTCTCCATTCGAATCTACATTTTGGAATGAGCACCTAGCTTCACCTAGCTTCACTGACGGACTCACTGGCAGACTATTATTTATTTTGTATTTTTCGACGTTTCAAAAGTACAAAATAATGGTTTAATTGAAATAAATGCTTTGACTTTGAATTTGACTTGCATTTTGACTTTGACTCCTACCTATAAGCAACTTTAACTTATTCAGATGTTTCAGGTACGCATAAAGTAGTCTAATAAGTCAGTCTTCCATATATAACAAAGTGCAGCAGGACATGCAGTCTAAAAATTTGCATATTTAATTAAAGTTTCCTCCATTGGAATCTTCGTAGGAGAAGTACCTAGGTTTTTACGTTAATAAACGTAAAAAACCTATTACGAAATAAAAAAAAGATGAATCGAACAGAAAGTAGCACATCCTATATTAGTCAAGTTTTTACCAGACTTTGTATGACTGGTAGTTATTGCAAAATGCCGGATTTGTTTACATTAGTAATCCTTTAGTCACGCGTATGGTTAAAGTGAGTCAGATTGTTTATATTCCAAGTCCCTCTTTGTTACGTAAAGGACTTTCGTGTTTATTAGTTTTTAGTACAAGGTTGTTTGGTGTCAATGACCTGAGATATGCGTCATAAAAAACTTGAGTTATAAAACAGTGCAGTTGACGCTTTTGTCATAATTAATTTCTGCTTGTAGTTGTAGCGTTTTTAAAAGAATTTTAGGTACTTCTAAGTAGTAATTGTGTAAAAATTTATGATGTGATGTGATCCCGCGTAATTTCGTGAATGCAAAAATCCACTTAAAATTTTATAGGATACATTTTTTCTCATAAAACGTGAACAGGAACCACTTCATAATTTTAAAGGTTTGGTGAATAGGCAACCACACACAAAGATATTGTTTATCTTAACTATCTTTACTTAGAAAACCACAAACAAAAATAAATATATTTATAAAAAAATCAACAAAAACATCAGTTCAATTTTATCCTCGCATTTAAAATTCATTGTCACCATGCAATGTGTATCTAACCCAGTTCTCCCCATCCGATTGGAGTTCGAGACTAAATTCAAACAAATGTTACTGTAATAATTACAACACAATGTAATTATATGAGATTATATGAAATTATCTGTACATCTATACAGATAAATAAAGTTGGAATATCTGTTTAAATTAACCGCTATTTACTACATAAGATACACATGCCAAAATATTTTTTTTTACTATTTTTGTCTGTCTCTCTGTTTATTTGTACTAGCTAATCTCTGGAATGGCTGGACTGATATTGCAAGAATTTTATTGGCAGGTAGCTAATGTACTTGTAATGTAATGTGTGTGCTAATGTAATGGATCCGGAGCAGATCTAGAGGACTCGGTGTTGAGGGTGGCCACCGGGTGGTTTTATTGAGGTAAAAATCCCACACTCCCTAGTCTTGTATTCCCATTAAGCTAGGCGCCTTTTGAAGGTTTCCCCCCGTCATCAAAAACAAAAGGTAGCTAATGTACTAAGGAGTAACATAGGCTACTTTTATTTTGGAAAATTGAAACAATATGTTTAAAATTCATATTCTACGCAGACGAAGTTGCGGGTTCAGCTAATATGAAATATAAACGCGACCAGATTCACATATTTCACTGCTATAATTGGTGCTTTAATTAATTGAAAGCGTAATTGCTATAATCTTGTTTTAAGTGACGGATTGTAAATTAAGAATTGTTTATTTAATGAATATTGTTGTTTTTGAGCTTTATACATTATATTTGAGAGAAGTTTGTCGCAATTCGTTTATAAAAAAATAAAATGGTTATAGGTAGTTAATGTTGGATTTGTACCACAACCACAATCCTAACAATCTAATTGAAACCTTTAATGTATATATATGAGACTTAAAAATGACAAATACTATTTTGATCACCTTAAAATTAGTTCCTGACTTTTGTAATAGAGCTCAGGCCCGTTTTTAGAAAACCGCTACTATTTTCAACCGACTTCAAAAAAAAAGGAGAAGGTTCTCAATTCGACTGTATTTTTTTTTAATGTTTGTTACTCGATTACTCGAAGACGCCTGGACCGATTTCAAAAATCTTTTTTAGGTTGAAAGGGTAGCCTTTCCATTAGGCCCCATTGTCATGAAGTCAGGATCTGACGATGGAATCCCAGAGGAACCGAGGGGAACTTTTAAAAATTATGGTGGCGACTAGTGCATATGTTAATTTTTTCGTTATGTTAATTCTAGTTTTAATTATCTTTGTTACAGTAAATTTCAAAACTATACTGCATAATATTATTATATTACTAGCTGTGCCCGCGACTTCGTTCGCGTGGAATAGTGACTAAGAGCAGCGTTTTTTTTAAAATATATACTTATTTTTATTTTAGATTTGGATCATAATCACAGTCATTTTGGGTAGCTAAAAAACCTACTTTACTGTAATGCTTCTCTATATACAATATTAGACGTATGGCCATCGGGGGTGAAAGCATACAGGCTGCTGGGATTGCTAACACGGGACAGAGCCACATACAATTGACCGTGCAAAAAACAGCTGTTACTTAGATCTACACCCACAACTTTTAGAGTCTGACCTTGAGCTTTATTAATTGTCATGGCGAAACATAGGCTCACTGGAAACTGAATTCGTTTAAAACTAAACGGAAAATTGTTTGGAATGAGAGGAATCCGAGGAATAAAAACACTATCACCTTTTCCGTACCCTGTTAAATATATATATATTTATATATATATAATAGATATAGATAGGTATGTATAAGCATAGAGTAGTGTTCGACGTGATTCTTTAATTTGACATAACTTTTTTATTTATGAACCGATTGACATGAAACCAACACTAAAGCATAACTGAAGCATACAGCAATATATTCGTGAAAACCGCATGCAACTCGGATCAGCCGTTTCTGAGATTAGCGTGAACAGACAAACAGACAAACAGACAAAAAAAAAGTTAGTTACATTTTTGGGTTCGACATCGACATAACAATAGCCCCTGCTATTTTTTTTATTTTTATTTTCAATGTACAGACAGCACTTTTCTACAATTTTATTATATGTATAGATTTATTATGCAGTAATATATTCCACAATCTAATGATAGAAGAATTGCTTATATTTTTCGCATAATCGAGTATTTAAACAGAACTAGTATACATCTATTAAATAACTATACCGCAAATACCGCATTAAATAACTATACGCATTAATAAAAATAAAGAAATATATAAAGGTGGTGTCTCACCGGGTGCGCGGGCGGCATGCATGTGTCGATCGCCGGCGCTCGCGGCGCATCACCGCTCTTGCAGCTGCACTCACACACACCCTGGAAACAATAATAACACTATTAATAATGCAATAATAGGTAATAATAATAATGCAACATTGGAGGTTGTTGTTTAAGTCGGTAATACTTAGATAATATCCGATATTGATGACCTGACTTGGTTTAGTTGATTATTGTAATCTGATGTTACTACTGCGTGTTATGTGGGTATGTACCTAGAGAAAAAGTTAGACCTTCTTGAAGAGGTTACTCATTTTACGAGGAAGATCTATAGGTACATACATGCTGCCTCGTTGGCCGAGTGGTCGCAAGTGCGACTGCCAGGCAAGAGGTCTCGGGTTCGATTCCCGGGTCGGGCAAAGTAGTATTGGTTTTTTTTTCAAAATTATCATTAGAACCACGGAGTCTGGAATTATGTCCGGCATATGGCAATAGGCTCACACCCTATAACATGGGACTCATAACAGAAATAGTGAAAAGTGGGTGTTACATTGTACAGTGGTATAATGTACACCTCTGCGTACCTCTTCGTGGATAAAAGGCGTGATGTTATATGCTATACCTATAATAAAATCGTAGGAAAATGCAAACAATACATTGATTATTTTTTTTAAATAATAATTGGGGCGTGATCTACAAACGGCACCGAAGCTAATAATATGCTTTATAGAATTTTTGTCTGTTTGTCTGCATGTATGTCCGGGCTAAACTCAAAAAGTACTACACGGATTGACTTTAAACTTTTACATGAATATTACTAACTAGCAGCCCGTCCCGGCTTCGCACGGGGTAGACAATTATTAATTTTTGTAGATTTGGATTGTTGTAGTGATATAACTACAATAGTTGGACATATGCTACCGCGGACTTTTTTGTAGACATTATGATGTTCTTCAATATTGTTGTACATTATTTTGTTCTATCGCTAATAGTTACGGCAGCGCATTCGACGAAAGATATTTTAAGACTCATTTTTCTACACCTTTGGTTACATTGTTCAAATTTTACCAAGGATCCCTAATTTTTTTTCAAAATGAAATGTAGCCTAATTCAAATTGGAAAAATGTAGCATTCTATTGGTGAAAGAACTTTTTAAATCAGCTCAATGCTTTTTGAGCCTATTCATTACAAACATAAAAACATACAAAAATAATATTAGTATAGAAGTATAGATATACAGGCTAAGAGGTCGGGTCAACATATAGGGTACATATTATCGCGCCATCACCTACGGAAGAGGAGCTGAATCACTATTTCACGCGAACGAAGTTGCGGGCAATGGCTAGTTAGGTAATAATGTTAATCGAAGAAGTCTCCTAACACAAAGTTTGTTTGGACGCTTGTGTCATTACGTTATGTCCATAATTTTACAAAGCCAATCAAAAAATATCACTATACTCTAAACATTAAAATCTAAAATAGTACTATCGAAATTTCGACATTCCCCGAATAATCTCAATAACAAACCATCTCATTTATCACAAAACACCTTTATCCACCAATCAATAAGGATTATTTTAGCGTATTACAAAAGCACTAGAAGCTAGCTTTGAACCATTTATAACTAGAAATAATGCGATCTCAACGTTTCAAGTAACGAGGTTTAATTAAATCTAATCCTGGCTTCGGTGAGTCGCATTAGAAGTTCCACAAATTCTAGGAGAGGATCCTATAGATGGAGGCAATTAGACCAGTCTCCAATTAAAACAAGCAATTATAAACTTTGTGGTTTTTCAATTAGAGATGAAGTTTGCTTAACTGGTTGAGTTATTGATTTGTTTGACGAATTTGCGTGAGTTAGTTATATATTACGTTTGTTGTTCTAATAAGCAGAAATTTGAGGATTGTTAGGGATATGGGGATTGGGAAGTCGGTAATTGGGCCTCCGGTAACCTCACTCACACGACGAAACACAGCGCAAGTTGTTTCACGTCGGTTTTCTGTGAGGCCGTTTCACTCCGGTCGAGCCGGCCCATTCGTGCCGAAGCATGGCTTTCCCACACTTACAATTACATTTACGAATATCCGGATATCGAAAAAACCAAATAGTGTGTGTATCGACCCCTTATTCGGCAGTTGCGAACTACATGACGAAAGAGCCCTTAAATAATGGACATAAAAGCTATGACGATATCCCCAGACATCTATCTTCAACTTTCGCAATGATGATAGCTAAAACCAGAACCAAATCTTTGACTATAAAAGCCAGAAAGAAAATGAAGTTTAATTATTATCTAGCTCTAGACTAAATGTTCGTAATTAGTGTTCTTATGTGTTTAAGTTGCTAGGAAGCCTAGACTAGACCATTTTAATGGAACTTTTATGGTTCAAATAATTTCGAGAAAGCGTTTCGTAATTATGCAGGAGCCTTTCTCGGTTCGTTCAATTTTCTCCTGCAAATGTAGGAATGTTTTCGCTACATTATTGATGGTTGCTAAAAATGTCGTGGTGGCCCGGAGGTTTAAGACGCTCGCTTCTCATGCATGAGGGTGCGAGTTCAAAACCTACCAACGGCAAGTACCAATGTGACTTTTTCCGAGTTATATGTACTTTCTAAGATTATTTAGATACCACTGACAAACGGTGAATGAAAACATCGTGAGGAAACCTGGGCTTATAATTTCTTATTATAAGTTTGTAATCACCAACCCGCATTGAGCAAGCATGGTGATTAATGCTCAAACCTTCTCCGTGTGGGAAGAAGCTTTGCTCAGCAGTGGGCATTTATAGGCTGTTGATGATGAAAGGGTTCAGCTTCCTCAAAATTTGACGAACTTATTTATTTATTTGGACATACAGTTGTTGCTACATTTTTATCATTAACTTAAAATTAGGAATTAACATCTTACTGCTAATGCACAACATTTGAAGGACATCACAGCATGCGTTGAGTTGAGAACACCATATCAATTAACTTGACGATGATGATAATGACTTGATAAATTAAATTCGCTTTTCAATTGAGTGGATCTATGATCGTAGAAATAACCTCCACATTTTGGGAAATGGATTGGAGAATGCAGTTATAAGCAGTAGTATGTAGATTCAGATTGCAGCCCAGTCTAAGTTCAGTATATCTATCTACCCCCTAATCTTGCCGGAGCACCTAACGGCCGCGGAGAACTTAACGGGTTACCGTGGCTCCGTCTCGAAGTGCAGGAGTAGGAACGGGGTGGTTTTTAGTCAGTAAGAGTCTGACACTCCCTCCTGTCTCACCCAGGCGGGAGAAGTCATTCAATGAATTTCCTACCTTAAAAAAACCCCTAATCTTACGATATCCAAAGAAAAAAACGGTGATGACAAATGTATTCTACTTTGCTGTTATAAAACGCCACATTTTTTTAATCACCTAACACACTACATCTTCAAACACTACAAAACCGAGTCTCTAGTTTACAATGAAGTGTTTTTTTCGCGTCAAACAGTGGCGCGTGCGGCTAACTGTACGTGTGGTTTACGTCAAGCTATAAAAACCAGCTTATCATGATCCCTCTTCATATGATCTGTCTAGACATTGGACGGTCAGTTTATACTGGTTTTGTATAGTATGATGAGCAGAAATGTGTACGTGCCAGTCATTATACTAGCGGTCACAAGCTACGATTATACCGTGATAATAATCTGTACTAATATTATGTGAATGTATTTGTCTGTCTGTCTGTCTGTCTGTAAGGTGTTTAGTTTTGGAATTGTTTAAAGTGTTAGTATTGTATTTTATTACAGGGGTCTTCCAACAGGAGGCACTATGTTCAACGGTGGACGCATAGCACCTAGCTGGTTTGATGATAATGTATATGATTCTATTTATTACTGGCTTTTTAAAAAAATCTCAGTAGTAGCACGGAGTCTGGAATTGTGCCCGGTATATGGCAATAGGCTCATCCCCTATTACATGGGACTCATAACATAAATAGTGACAAGTGGGTGGTACATTGTACAGTGGCACAATGTGCACTTCTGCCTACCCCTTTGGGGATAAAAGGCGTGATGTTATGTTATGTATATTGTTAGAATACCAATAATGTTATCTAATATTACGCTATAATGACTAGAAAAAGTGTACCTTACTGGTGTCTAACACTACTGGTGTCTAATGAAAAACTTAAGCATTATCCGTTGAAAATTGTTAAAAATCATCCCCTAAATTTGTTCATACAAAAGTAGTCTCTAAACATTGGAAATAAGGTCTATAATGGAGTTAGTGGAGAACGGTCACCGGTGACCACTTGGGGATATATGGGTTACAATATTTTCAGTTCAATAAATGTGGCTGACTGCCACACTCTAAATGTTATTGTCATGTTCCAAGATAAAAATGGGCGGACAAAGTCACGTCTTACGACTAGTCTTAGAAGAAATATTTGAAAATATTAGCTGCGAATAAAAAACGGAATGAATCAGCTGTTTGTAAGTTGGTAGCCAGTTGTTACGGAAACATTAGTAGAATTGTGTATAAGTAAGTAGATTCAAAGTCAAAGTCAAAAATCATTTATTTCAATTAGACCAGGAAGGCACTTTTGAACGTCACAACAAAATATTTAAATATTAAATAATAAGAAAAAATGACAGTCTGTAGGTCAGTCCTCTAGTGAAGCTATTTACTCGTTCCAAAGTGTAGATTCCTATGGAAAAGAACGAGCAAGAAACTCCATAGGTTACTCTTTTTCAATCATGTTCACAATACAATTCTCCAGTTAAATTCTTTCGTTGAGTTCAATTATGTGAGAATAATGTAATATTTGGTCAAGGAGACTGAAAAAGAAAATAACCTTGAGGACAACAAATTTAATACAGTCTGGAGCTGACCGGTCCCATTATTGGCAGTCCCAGATTATTGACAATAAGGATAGCTCCTATTTCATTTGAATCTTTATGACTAAAAACCACCCCGTTCCTTCTCGTTCCGTTACGACCAAAGAAACAATGTAACCAAGAATTGTATTGTAATCCTGATTGAAAAAGAGTAATCAGTAGAGTTTCTTGCTCCTTCTTTTCTATAGGAATCTACGATTTGGAACGAGCAAATAGCTTCACTAGAG